GATCAATATCGCGGGCGGCACGTGCTCGGAGTAGGGCTTGCTCCTGCTCTGTGACCAGGAAGGTTCCCATGGCCTCCCGCTCTTCCCGCGGCAAAACCGCCTCCTCGACTGGATACGGTGCCGGCCTCGTCTCTCTGCGTACCGTGTCGGGAGCCTTGAGACGGGGGTCCATGCAAACGGGGGTCAGCCAGAGCTCCGGATCTTGCAGGATCGTGCAGGACCAGGGTCGCATTGACCTGGGCTTGTGCGCAGGATCCTGCAGGATTTTGTAGGATCCTTCGCGTTGACCCGGGTTGGGCGCAGGATCTTGCAGGATCTTGCAGGATTTTGCAAGGCCTGATTGACCCTGGTCTGGATTGACCCGTGGCCCTGAAGGCAGGGGCGTGGAGGGAGGGGAGGGTGATCTCGAGTCCTAGATGTCCAGGGCATGGTAGGTCACGCAGGAGTCGAAATTGGTATAAGACTTGCATGGGGGAAACGTAAGACTCGAATCAGCCAGGACTCGAGTTTGCCGACGCTTTTTGACGAGCACGTCCTGGATTTTGACGGCCCAGCTTGCGTGGGATGTTTGCAGCGGGGGCTCGCGTCAAATTTCAGATTGGGCCTCGTCATTTTTATGATGGCCCAGTCAGGCCAACCCGAGTCTCCCGTGCCCGAGACGTCTCCCCGATTGCAGCCCTGTAGTGTTGCACTGAGTCAATATGTGTAGTTTTCGGCCCATCGGTGATTCTGCCCCAATCTTTGTCTCAGTCACAGGTCATCTTGAACTCCTCCTCATCTGTCCGATCCGCTGTGTTGTGCCACTGCATCCCCCAGGCCAGCGCAGGGGAGTCGGCGATCTTGACTTGGGCGTACATACATGCACAGGTAATACGGTGTGGCCCCCCTTGCCGCTGCAGCTTGTAGGGGAAGGCGGAACAGTGTATCGTTGTCTCGAGGTTGCTTCCCATAAGGTGATGCCATCAAGTATCCCATGCCACGTCCGATCGGAATGTAGGCTTCCGTCCACCGCTGTGTGTGATTAAGCGTCTTGGTATGGAAGTCCTTCGGCTTGGTGGTGACCAAATGGAGTGTGAGCGGTGCGATGACACCCTCTCCACCGTATTCTGCCGCGTATCCCTCAGCCGTGTGTTGATGCTTACCTTGGGACGGCGCCTTGATGTACAGCTGTGGTGGACGATCAATGGAGAGGAAGCATGTTGCCGAATACTTTCCAGATGTCTAACACATGTGTGAAGCATGTTTCAAACATGCAGAAACATGTTTAAAACATGGTTATCACATTTTCCGACATTTTAAACACATATTATATTCAATTATAGGACTGTTAGGGTGTCCATTGTCGTGGCATCCACAGAGCGAGAGGAAGCGACGGTGAGCCTCCCCCGGTGGCCCGTCGCCCTTGCAGGCTGTCGGCCAGGCGCGACTTAGGCCAGCACAGCCAGCCAGGATGGCCTGCGGGATGACGCAGAGGAGGAGCACCCGGAGCCTGTGCTAAATCGGGCCTGTCCCTCTACAGGAGGAATATGCAAAAATAGCTGGAACATAGTCTGGGGATGATTCGGCTAGTTTATGGCTATTTGTGATCCTATTTTTCTTTTGTTGCCAAGGCCCGCCTGTAGGAGGACACGCCCGACCCAAAGTTTGTGCCCCTTGCTCGGCGGGCCCCTGCGAGTGGTGGCGCGTGCCGTCGGCGCTGACGCTCTGCACCCAGTGTCTCGGTGCAGGTCGGCGGCCTCGTGGCTCAGTGCCGTGGCATCTGAGCTGGCCCCTGGGGCTCCCGGGTGCTCCCGGGAGCTCGCGCAGCGAGGGGTCTACTCAGGCCTCGGCAGGGTGCTTGTGTCACTGTAGCGACGGTCCTGGCCAGGCACGTCCTGGACCTGGGGGGGCCCATTCTGGCGGGGTCGGCGACGAGGCGGCAAGGCACGCGGCCTCTCTCCATCGCAAGACAGGCCCAGTTGGCGGCAATGCTCGCTATCGTTGCCACACTCGGTATCAGTTGTAGGCGACGTTGTGGCACCTGCCCTTGGTGTTGTCGTGGTCGTTGTTATCGTGTTGAGCGCAGCCTGCAGGCAGCCATTCCATCCACTGTCATACTGCGCACTCTTCTGATAGTAGTCTTAACCCGAAGTCCACATCACAGTCGATTGGGTGTCCCACGCGCCAGCGACTGTGCCCTCGTGGGCTACAGGTCATGTCCAAAATTTGAGCTCGCCACAGGAGTGCTTGATACACAAGTCTCTAACCAACTCATGCCTGGTTTGAAAGAATGTTAGTTGTAAGCTTGCTGCTGTCGTCGTGGCTTAGCTCTCGCATGCGGCCTTTGGCCTGGGCTTCCCAACATAAGGTCGGACAGCGCTTCTTTGGGGACCCCTAGAGATCGCCACCCTTGAATCTCGGGGTCTGGCGGGCAGGGGCGCCTGCATCCTCGGTGTCGGGCTTGTGGACTCACAGCTTCTTCATGATCGCATCGATGCCCGTCTGGATGGCTCCAAGTCCCTCCAGCCGCAGTGCTGCCTGATCTATGTACTCGCCCTGCGCCTTCACCGTGTCCGTGATGGTGCCGAGCTTCTCGTTGGTAGCTGCTGTGGCGGCCTTCTGGGCTCCGATATTCTGCGTCTGCTCCGCCATCTGCTTCTGCAAGCTGGCGAAATTGCGCTCGAGTGTGTTGATACGGTCGCCCGCTGCCTGAAGAAGGACCGCTTTGATCGTCGGGCCACTGCTGTCAACCTGCATGGGCGCTGGGTGCGCCTGGGGCTCATGTGAGGCCCTCGGTGCTGGCTGGGGGGCCCCAGCCGTCTTGAGGTCTGTGAGCCAGCTCGGCCCACGGGTTGCCATCGGGGCTGCGGCGTAGGCTGGGCTGGCACCTCCAGCCGGCGCTGCCTGCGTCGGTGGGGCCTTCGTCGCTTTGGTGGTGGCCAAGTCGTTGGCCAGGATGATGGTGGGGGTGACCTCCTCGGCGTGCGCCTTGGTCTTCTGCGCCAGCGCAGTGACCACCCTTGGCTACGCAGCCGTGCCAACTTGCCAGCTCACGCTCTGTGGTGCAGCACCCGCCTTGGCATTCGCGTAGTGGCTGCTCCCTCTGCTGTCGTAGGCGATGTTCAGGATGTCACGCCGCCAGCTAAGGCTCTTAGCGACCGCCTGGATCTGTCCCTTGGATGCCATGTTGGCGGGGATGCGATCAATGCGAAATCGAAGTCAAGCCAAGCATTGCGTGTTGCCTCTCGCCTCGATGGCCAGCTCCTCGAACTTGGGCGCAAATCACGCTATGCGGTTGCGTATTGAGCGGCGTTCGCTGCGCACGGCACTTAGGTGACCGATGCGCTTGATTACAATCTCGTACGCTTCGTGGAGAGTAGCTGTTGGCGACGGCAGCCAGACCACAAAGCTGCCGTTATTGTTCATTTCGGCCTGCTCTGGGTTACCGATGTAGGAGTGCGCAAGCTTGATGCCCTGAAGCCCCACACCTTCATGCATGCCTGGACCTCGCCTTTGCCCACCACGAAGGTGGCTGAGAATGTACATTCACCGCGCATCGTCGTAATATGAATTCTCCTGTGATCAGGTAGGTATCATGCGAGACAGTGCTTCCAAGAGTTGAGCACCAGGTTTGACCGTGTTGATGATGTCAGTGAAGTCGCTGCGCAAGGCTTCGGCGAGCGCAGTCTTGTCCTCTGACTTCTTGAAGCGCATGTAGCGGTCGTTCTTGTTGCTGCTATCCTTCTCGCCACCGTGTGTGAGGATTTGGTCAGTACTTGTGAGCTGTTGGTCGACCAACTGGCTGATTTCGGGTTCGTGGAAGCCGCATCTGTCTTGTAGATCGTAGTCCTTAGCGTCGCTGCGGGCTGATCGTCATCCAGCGCCTGGACCAGTGGCAGTGTTGGTCTGGCAGGTGACCTCGCAGCCGTCCCCGAACTGGTGGAGGGCACCCTTCAGGAACGCCTTCTTGGGTGTCCTCCCACTGGCACCGATCCCCATGACGGGCACTTGGATGACGGTGGAGGGGTATTGTTCATTTCTAATTCGTCGAAAGTTCATTGATTTTTTTGGGGTGCAAGGTCCTTTCATTTCTAATTGCTCTATCCTGGACCTCTTCCTGGCCACTAGGGGGCCAGGTACAATTAGAAACGAGCACAACTAGAAATGAGCCGATTAAAAATCAACGACGGGTAGTTCGGGTCGGGCTCGCCCAGCCCGTTGATGGCCAGGAGGAAGCGCTGCTCGTCGCCTCTGAGGACGGAGCACCACTTGCTGGCCATACATGGGCTATGGAGGCTGACCGAACTCTCGTAGGTGTTGTCAGTCTTCTTCTTCGACTCCGTGGAGATCGGTACTTGCCAGTCAGCTTCATGCAGCGCCACCGTCGGAATGAAGGCTTCCTTGGGTACCTCCCGTGCGCTGCCACCATCACCTGCATCGCATGTCATCTTGGTGCGGGTCTGATGCTCCTTGGTCTAGCAGGTCTTATGCTCGGCGAGCAACTTTCGAAGTTCCCGTCCCAGAATTTTCCCAGGCGTGGAGAATACCAAGCTCCGGAGGTCGTTCCCGTGCTCGGCTCCCGTCTCGTCATCTGCAGCGGACGCTCGGCTCGCGCCACTTCCATTCACCGCTTCTATCACCAACTGCGTGCGTGCAGGTGGTCCGCCCACCTTCAAGGTCGGTTTCTTCGGGGCCGTGGCGGCTGCCGTGCATGGACGGGGGATGTGCGAGGCTCCTCAGCCCTGGGCCGGGCTGTCGGCGCGGCGGCAGGAGAGACTGCCCTCGGATGGCGCCTCGCCCTCGGCACGCTCGTGCTTCCTGGAGACACCCGTGCCCGCGCTGGAGGAGGAGGAAAGGGAGGAGGAGAGGGAGGAGGAGGAGGAAAAGGAAAGGGAGGAGGAGGAGCAGGAGGAGGAGGAGGAGGAGGAGAAGGAGGAGGAGGGGGAGGGGGCAGGAGGAGGAGGAAGAGGAGGAGGAGGAGGAGGAGGAGGAGGAGGAGGAGGAGGAGGAGGAGGAGTCAGGAGGCCCCGGCGGCCAGCAGCAGCGCCCCCTCGCCAGCGGCGCCCGCTGGCCTGCTCGGCGTCACCGGCCTCGTGGCGGCCGCGGCCAGGCTTCCCAGGCCTCCGAGATGGGGTCCGAGCAGATGTCGGGCGACGAAGCCTGTGCATACATCTGCACGAGCGAGATGGGCACGGAAAGAATGGCTACAATGCCCAACAGCAGTTCCTGCTCATTTTGAGCAGGACTCGCTGTCCGCGCCGCCGCGGCCTGTGTCCATTTGAGACCGCTTGCCCAACAGCGGCCGCTGTTGGTTTGGGACAGCATTTGTTGTTGGGCATTGTACCCATTCTGTCCGTACCCATTTCGGGCGTACAAAATACAGTCGCACAAGGCACAAGATCGATGTCGGTTCGGAGAGGGTGCGCTAACGTTCTTCGTGCTGGTTGCGTGTTCTTGTGCGCCCTGGATCAGGGTACCCCTGGATGTTCTGTACGTCTCTGGCAGACGGAGCGTCTCGTGTTCTTGAGGGATGTTCGTCTGGCCTAGGTCCGACTGTATCCACTGCCTCCTGGCCGAGCCCTTCCTGGGCCCGGGAGCTGTGCGTACGCCCTCCTGGCTGTGTGCGCCCTCCTGGCCAGGCCGGGAGGGCCTGGTGCGTGGCGTATGGACCACTGCTGGGTTCAGGGTGGGTATTCCTAGATGTCGAAGATTTTTTAGATACTCCTAGACCGGACCACTGCTGGATTTCCGTGGATTTCCTAGATTTTCCTAGAGATTTCCCAGATTTTCCAAGGTATTCCTAGATTCCATAGATTTCCCAGATTTTCCTAGAGATTTCCTAGATATTCCTAGATTTCACCGCTGGACAATGGAGCGGTGGATATTCCTAGGTTTCGTCGCACCACCACACGGGTTTGTTTTGATAAGGTCTGGAGGTCAGATGGGAGTCGCGAGCCAGCGGGCCCCCCGCCCACTCCAACCCCCCCCCCTCCCGTAGAGGAGGAGGAGGAGGAGGAGGGAGGAGGAGGGAGGAGGAGGGAGGAGGAGGGAGGAGGAGGGAGGAGGAGGAGGAGGGAGGGAGGAGGGAGGGAGGAGGAGGGAGGAGGGAGGAGGGAGGAGGGAGGAGGGAGGAGGGAAGAGGGAGGAGGGAGGAGGAGGAGGTGCCAGGTTTGATAAGGCTGTGTTTTATATTTCCCGGCGTGTGCGGGCCCGCGCCAGATGGACCCAAGGAGGGGTCGGGAGATTGATTTGGGTCAAGTCGGGCTTGTCCCCCTGCAGGAGGAACTATTTACCTAACAGCGAAGACTGATAGGTTTCTAGTGGGGTCAAAAGAGAGCATCCTGATTCCCCAGGGGGGTCTGGGCAGGGTCTGGGGGATGCCGGGGAAAACCGGGGATCCGCGCCTGATATGGGGGAACTCAGTCGGGGGTGCCGTGGGTGCCCGCCTGATATGGGGGAACTCAGTCGGGGGTGCCGCGGGTCCACGCCTGATATGGGGGAACTCAGCTGACGGGTGCCGCGGGTGCTTGCCTGATATGGGGGAACTCAGTCGGGGGGGCCGCGGGTGCACGCCTGATGTGGGGGAAGTCAGTCGGGGGTGCCGCGGGTCCACGCCTGATATGGGGGAACTCAAGTGAGGCTGAGGCTGAGGCTGCGGCTGAGGCTGAGGCAGGCTGAGGCAGACGCTGAGGCAGGCTGATGCATCCGAAAGCCCATGAGCAGTGAGGAGGAGAGATGCCTCCTGTCGAGCGCCACGGTGTGCTCAGAGGGAGGAAGAGGAGGAGGAGGACGAGGAGGAGGAGGAAGAGGAGGAGGAGTTCGAGGGTGGATACGCAAGGTTTTTCTCAGCGGTTCCGGCCTCTGGAGGCCCAGTTGCGGGGATCCAGGACGTTTCAAGATTTGCCTTCATGGCGTCTGGCCTTTGGAGCCTCAGTTGCGGGGATCCAGGACGTTTTAATATGTATACATCTCTATGTACTTATCGAAAGCAGTGAGTCGTTCGAAACTAAGTCCATTGATAGCAGTGTCTCGTTTGGGGCTACACCCATTCATAGTATGGTCTCGTTGGTACCTAAATCCATTGATAACAGTGTCTCGTTCGGAGATGAGCTAATTGATAGCAGTGTCTCGTTTGTACTGCTCCTGCTACTCGTGTTTCTACTGTTACTACTACTGCTCCCACTACTCCTACTCGTTCACTACAACCACTACAACTACTACTTTCACTACTACCACTGCTACCATCACTACTACTTCTGCTACTACTACTGTTACTATTACTTATGCTCCTGTTATTGCTGCTGCTGTTGCTGCTGCTACTGTAGCTATTGCTACTGCAACTACTGGGATTGCTACTGCGACTGTACCTACGACTGCCGTTGTCATTGCGATTGCCATTGCGACTGCGACTGCGACTGCGAAGGCATCAGAATTCTATAACAGGGCTCCTACATGAATCTCAAAAGGAATGCTCCCAGATATGTTTCTATACATCGCTGTTAGGTTGCTTTGCCGGGATAATTTGATTATTTGGGGGTATTCTTTGACAATTGTAAAGTTTTCGTCCAACACCCCCCTGTAGGGGGACAGGCCCGACCTAAGATTTGGGGCGGATTTGGCTTCGCACCCTCCTCCGGACCGATTTGTTGGGGCCCCAACCAGTGGAGGCCCCCAGGCCGCCTCCCAAAGGATCGCGCCCCAGCCCTACAGAAGGAACTATTTCCCAACCCTCCTTGGTTGGGTATTCGTTTTGAATAGAGGGGTGTGGTCGCGTCCTTCGCCCGCCCCCCCTTGTGGTCGCCGTGCCTGGGGGGCTGCGATCTGCGAAATTGTCGCCACTTTCGAGGGCTGCTGGTGGGTCCTGCGGAGTGAGGCACCGCGCGGATCTGAGCGGGACCTCGCCGTCCCTGGGGGGCTGCGATCTGCGAAACTGCCGCCACTTTCGAGGGCTGTTGGTGGGTCCTGCGGAGCGAGGCGCCGCGCGGATCAGAGCGGGACCTCGCCGTGCCTGGTGGGCTGCGATCTGCGAAACTGTCGCCACTTTCGAGGGCTGCTGGTGGGTCCTGCGGAGTGAGGCACCGCGCGGGTCTGAGCGGGACCTCGCCGTGCCTGGGGGGCTGCGATCTGCGAAACTGCCGCCACTTTCGAGGGCTGCTGGTGGGTCCTGCGGAGTGAGGCACCGCGCGGATCTGAGCGGGACCTCGCCGTGCCCGGGGGGGCTGCGATCTGCGAAATTGTCGCCATTTTCGAGGGCTGCTGGTGGGTCCTGCAGAGTGAGGCACCGCGCGGATCAGAGCGGGACCTCGCCGTGCCTGGGGGGCTGCGATCTGCGAAACTGCCGCCGCCACTTTCGAGGGCTGCTGGTGGGTCCAGCGGAGTGAGGGGCCGCGCGGATCTGAGCGGGACCTCGCCGTGCCTGGGGGGCTGTGATCTGCGAAACTGCCGCCACTTTCGAGGGCTGCTGGTGGGTCCTGCGGAGTGAGGCACCACGCGGATCTGAGCGGGACCTCGCCGTGCCTGGGGGGCTGCGATCTGCGAAATTGTCGCCACTTTCAAGGGCTGCGGTGGGTCCTGCGGGAGTGGAGGCACCGGCGGGATTCTGAGCGGACCTCGGTGATCTGCGAAACTGCCGCTTTGAGGGCTGCTGGTGGTCCTGCGGAGTGCTGAGATCTCGCGCTGGTGGGAGTGAGGCACCGCGCGGATCTGAGCCCTCGCCGTGCCTGGGGGGCTGCGATCTGCGAAACGGCGCCACTTTCGAGGGCTGCTGGTGGGTCCTGCGGAGTGAGGCACCGCGCGGATCGAGCGGGACTCGCCGTGCCTGGGGGGGTGCGAGTCTGGCGAAACTGTCGCCACTTTCGAGGGCTGCTGGTGGGTCCTGCGTAGTGAGGCACCGCGCGGGTCTGAGCGGGACCTCGCCGTGTCTGGGGGGCTGCGATCTCCGAAACTGCCGCCGCCACTTTCGAGAGCTGCTGGAGCGGAGTGAGGCACCGCGCGGATCTGAGCGGGACCTCGCCGTGCCTGGGGGGCTGTGATCTGCGAAACTGCCGCCACTTTCAAGGGCTGCTGGTGGGTCCTACGGAGTGAGGCACCGCGCGGATCTGAGCGGGACCTCGCCGTGCTTGGGGGGCTGTGATCTGCGAAACCGTCGCCACTTTCGAGGGCTGCTGGTGGGTCCAGCGGAGTGAGGCACCGCGCGGATCTGAGCGGGACCTCGCCGTGCCTGGTGGGCTGCGATCTGCGAAACTGTCGCCATTTTCGAGAGCTGCTGGTGGGTCCTGCGGAGTGAGGCACCGCGCAGATCTGAGCGGGACCTCGCCGTCCCTGGGGGGCTTCCGATTTGCGAAACTGTCGCACTTTCGAGGGCTGCTGGTGGGTCCTGCGGAGTGAGGCACCGGCGGAGCGGGACCTCGTGGGGGGCTGCGATTTGCGAAAGCGGCTGAGCCTGAGCGGGACCTCGCCGTCCTGGGGGGCTGCGATCTGCGAAACTGTCGCCACTTTCGAGGGCTGCTGGTGGGTCCAGCGGAGTGAGGCACCGCGCGGATCTGAGCAAGACCTCGCCGTGCCCTGGGGGCTGCGATCTGCGAAACTGTCGCCACTTTCGAGGGCTGCTGGTGGGTCCAGCGGGGTGAGGCACCGCGCGGATCTGAGCGGGACCTTGCCGTGCCTGTGGGGCTGCGATCTGCGAAACTGACGCCACTTTCGAGTGCTGCTGGTGGGTCCTGCGGAGTGAGGCACCGCGCGGATCTGAGCGGGACCTCGCCGTCCCTGGGGGGCTGCGATCTGCGAAATTGTCGCCACCTTAGAGGGCTGCTGGTGGGTCCAGCGGAGTGAGGCACCGCGCAGTTCTGAGCGGGACCTCGCCGTGCCTGGGGGGATGCGATCTGCGAAATTGTCGCCACTTTCGAGGGCTGCTGGTGGGTCTTGCGGAGTGAGGCAGCGCGCAGATCTGAGCCGGACCTCGCCGTGCCTGGGGGGCTGCGATCTGCGAAGCGGTCGCCACTTTCGAGGGCTGCTGGTGGGTCCCGCGCAGTGAGGCACCGCGCAGATCTGACCGGGACCTCGCCGTCCCTGGGGGGCTGTGATCTGCGAAACCGTCGCCACTTTCGAGGGCTGCGATGCTCGCAGAAGTATATGCGCCCATGTCACGTCATCACCTCCGTATAACGTCTCCCAAGCTACTCATGCCAGGCATTGCGCAGGGGTTGGGTACGTCGCCAGGGTAATTTTGATTATTTGGGGGTATTTTTTTGGCAATTTTTGAATTTTTCGTCCAAAATCCCCCTGTAGTGGGACAGGCCCGACCTAAGATTTGGGGCGGATCTGGCTTCACACCCTCCTCCGGACCGATTTGTTGGGGCCCCAACCAGTGGAGGCCCCCAGGCCGCCTCCCAAAGGATCGCGCGGTGTTGCCGATGCAGCGCCGAGGCATCGCTGCTGCGGCTCGATTTGGAGCCCGATCTTCTCCATGCCGACGGCGCCGATGCCTTGGCGATGCGGCGCGATCCTCCGACCCCATCTGCTCGGTCACCATCTAGGAGGCCTCTGCAGGCGCTGGCTGCCCTCGAGGCCGGAGGAGCTCGGCGTCGGGCGCGGCGGCGGGCTGCCGGGGGCCGCCACGATCTTCCAGGACGGAGAGACATGCCCGTACCGCTGCCCTTGCAGCGCCCAGGGTGATGGCGGCGGCGGCGGCGACGGCCACGGCGGCGGCGGCGGCGGCGGCGGCGGCGGCGGCGGCGGCGGCGGCGGCGACGACGACGACGACGACGACGACGACGACGACGACGACGACGACGACGACGACGACGACGACGTCACCGACGACGACACCGACGACGACACCGACGACGACGACGACGACGACGACGGCGGCGGACTGCGGCTGCCGATGGCAGGGCTTGCCCTTGCCGTCGCCGTGCAGGGCTCGCCTGAGGGGAGAGTGTAGGCCTCGCCGCCACGGCCGAAGGGTCGCCTCCTCGAGATGCTGGTCGGAGCCGCGCCCCCAAAGAGGTCGGGGGCGCGGCGGGCTCCCCAGACAGGCTCGCGCCGCGGAGCAAAAATCACGACGTTTTTTTCCCCAACCCTCCTTGGTTGGGTATTCGTTTTGAATAGAGCACTGTGGTCGCGTCCCTTCTCCCGCCCCCCTCCCGCCTCCTCTCGCCTCCTCCTGCCCTCTCTTCGCCGTCGCTGGGGGCTGCGATCTGCGAAACTGTCGCCACTTTCGAGGGCTGCTGGTGGGTCCAGCAGAGTGAGGCACTGCGCAGATCTGAGCGGGACCTCGCCGTGCCTGGGGGGCTGCGATCTGCGAAACTGTCGCCACTTTCGAAGGCTGCTGGCGGGTCCAGCGGAGTGTGGCACTGCGCACTTCTGAGCGGGACCTCGCCGTCCCTGGGGGGCCGCGATCTGCGGAACTGTCGCCACTTTCGAGGGCTGCTGGTGGGTCCAGCGGAGTGAGGCACCGCGCAGATCTGAGCGGGGCCTCGCCGTCCTTGGAGGGCTGCGATCTGCGAACCCGTCGCAGCTTTCGAAGGCTGGTGGCGGGTTCAGCGGAGCGAGGCACCAGGCAGATCTGAGCGAGACATCGCAATCCTTGTGGGGCTACGAGCCTCACGAAGTATATGCGCCCATGTCACGTCATCACCTCCGTATAACGTCCCCCAAGCTACTCATGCCACGCATTGCGCAGGGGTTGGGTACGTCGCCAGGGTAGTTTTTGTTGTTGTTGTTGGGCAGTTCTATGGATGATGATGATGATGATGCTGATGATGATGATGATGATGATGATGATGATGATGATGATGATGATGATGATGATGATGATGATGATGATGATGATGATGATGATGATGATGATGATGAGAGAAGGAGGAGGAGGAGGAGGAGGAGGAGGAGGAGGAGGAGAGGAGCAGGAGCAGGAGCAGAGAGGAGCAGCAGGACAAGGAGGGGGGAGGAGGAGGAGGAGGAGAGGAGGAGGAGGAGGAGGAGGAGGAGGAGGAGGGAGGAGGAGGGTCCTGGGACCGCCGAGCATCGGTGCCCAGGATGGCACTCGGGTTCCAGGGAAGGTCCAGACCTCTGCAGGGGGAGCCGCGTGGTGAAAGAAGCGCGATGCTGGACGTCCTCAGTCTCCTCCTCCTCCTCCTCCTCCTCCTCCTCCTCCTCCTCCTCCTCCTCCTCCTCCTCCTCCCTCCTCCTCCTCATCCTCTCCTCCTCCTCCTCCTCTCCTCCTCCTCCTCCTCCTCCTCCTCCTCCTCCTCCTCCTCCTCCTCCTCCTCCTCCTCCTCCTCCTCCTCCTCCTCTCCACCTAGGCTTTTACCTGTCTCGCATTGCATGTGTCCAGACACGCCAGAATCGAGGGGCCACGGCTTCACCCACCTGGTCTGAGCTAGGCCCGGACGCTTGGCCGCAGCGGTGGTAGTTCATTCGTGCGTTCGTCGGTGTCGTCTTGCCCTGCCAGGCCGGGTCTGCGGGCCTGACGGTCTCCATGGTGACGGTGCGGCGGGGGCAGGACCTCGGGAGCGCCGAGATGGGGGAGCTGGAGCCGCTCGTGGTGGTGGAGGTGCTGGAGGTGGGCCAGGGCCAGCGCATGCGGGTGCGGTGCTCTGGCGCGCCAGGCTTGGAGGGCTGGGTGAGCTGCCGGACGAGGCTCGGGGAGCAGCTCGTTGCGCCCGTCGCCGTCTCCGGGGGCATTGCGCACCGCGCCTCGCCCTCCTCGCAGGGTTGGGTCGGGGACCTCCTCGGCGCCCACTTCGCTGTCGGGGGCAGGCACACGGTCAGGTCGGTCGTGACCGTGAGGTCCGGCGAGGGCCTCGACAGCGCGATCGTGTGCGAGCTGTGGCGGGGAGAGAGCCTCCGGATCCTGGAGATGGGGCAGGCCAACCGGCGCCGCGTGAGGGTGGAGTCCGGCGGCGTGGAGGGCTGGATCAGCCTGGCGACGCAGGCGGGCGACCTGCTGGTCAACGTGCGCCCAGGGGACGATCGAGCTGCTGGGGCAGGGCCCGAGGAGCCGGTGTGGCGGCTGGGCGCGCCGGGCGCGGCACTGTCCGCGGGGGCCGCCGTCACCAGGCGGCTGGCGTCGATCGGCCGCAGGCCCACCGCCTCGGAAGAGCTCGAGAGGAATCTGCAGATCGCCAGCGGCCTGCCCGAGTTCAGCGGCAGGCTGCCGGAGTTCGGGCTGGGCGGCCTCCAGCGTGGCGAGAGGGCCCTCCAGATCTCCAGCGCACTGGCCTCCCGCCGGTGCTGGAACGCGGGGCGGGAGCTCGCCGGCATGCTGCCAGAGTTTGAGTTCAACGGCGTCGGGAACCAGGCCAAGTACGAGCCCACCTGCAGCGTGTGTCTCTCGGATTTCGTGAACGGGGAGATGGCCAAGAGGCTCCCCTGTGAGTTCTCGATGTTTTTTGTTCTTTCCAGTTTTGGGTACTGTTGTTGTTCTGTTTGCTTGTTTCCCGCGTCCGTGTGCATGGATGTGTAGAGACGTTTGTGTTTACGTTCATACGTGTTGCTTTGTTTAGTTGTTGTGCTGTGTGGTGGTGTCCATTGTTATGCTCTTTGTGCGTGTTTGTGTTGTTGCTGCTGGTTTCTGAATCCATGTCTTTGTTATTCCCCACATGTTTCGTGGGTTGCTAGTTTTTACCCTGCCGCGTCGCACCCACGCCTCCCTCACCTCCCTCCTCTTCTTCTTCGCACCTGCACTTACGAACGCACCCGACAATGAGATACAAGCGAACATGCAGTCACATTCGCACGCGAAGAGCACGCGCACGCAGCACATATATGCACAGCACACATACTGCACACATACACAACACACATACACTTAAAGCCGCGCAGACACACACACACACACTCACACCATACAACAATAGTAGATATCTGACGCACACAGCACAAACACACAGCACCAGACGCACGCAACACCATACAACGCTGGTAGATATCTGAAGCTGCGTACCACACACACCAGACGCACGCAGCACAAACACTGCAGCCATACTGAGACACACGTCCACGTACAGCAGCACACGCATCACACACATACACACGATACTCCATACACAAGACATGCGTGTAGGATTCGCAGGGCGTGACAGGAGTGGCACTTTCTCGACACCACAGGGGGTGCAAAGCGGTGGTGCGCTGGATGTGGGGGCGCTACCCGTCGTACGCTCGCACAGCGTGGCAGGCGTGGCAGTTTCTCGACGCCACAGGGGGTGCGTTGGAGGTGGGGGCGCGATCCGTCGTACGCTCTCAAAGCGTGGCAGGCGTGGCAGTTTCTCGACACCAGAGGGTGCGCGCTGGGGGTGTGGGCGCTATCCGTCACACGCTTGGCGCTTGCCATCAATTGCATCCAGTACTGCAGGCATGGAGAATAGTACATACCTGGACTCAGGCCGACTCGACGCGCTAGTGATTTCACGCGGGTGCGCCAGAACTCCCAATCGGAGGCAGCAGAAAGCTCCCTCGGTGCGGGTGGCAGTCATGCCGGCTAAACTTGCCATGGACGCATTGCCTCCCCCATGCTTGAGGCTGACAAGCGCTATGGTGGAAGTGGGCTTTGATATTACTTTGGAAGGCTTGCGCGGCAGAAAAGCAACGAAGGGAGGGAGGGAAGGAGGGCGGGGGCGAAGGAGGAGGCTGCATGAGGGACAGGAAAAAAAGATCATTCTAATTAGGGCATTCCAGGAAACGGCCCTCGGCTACCACATCGCATCCTGCTCCGCTGGGGAAAAGGGGAGGAGGGAAAATGTTCAAGCAGTGGTGCGTTGGATGGAAGTGTGAAATGACTTCACACTGTAAGTGCAGAAGTCAGGGTGCTATGTACATGCAGCATGTTTTCATAATGACCGAATTAGTATGTTGGGTTCCTCGGTAGCGTCGTAATTCTCTGATTTTGGTTAAGATCAGCGCTGATGCTCTTAAGGAAGTTTTCAGTCGCTCCTTTCACCATCCTTCGTCTTCCAGGTGGGCCCTTGTGTTTGCTACTATACTTGTATGTTTTCTGGCAGTGCCTCGTGCAGTCCTGGCCTTCTCTCTCGCACGTTTGCTGGGGCTTGCCGCCTTGGTGTCGACACCGTGCGAGAGACTCTCACTCCCGGAAGTCGGGACTCGTCCAGGGCCTCCGGCACTCCCCGACAGCCGTTCTGTGGAGATTCTAGCTCGGGGGCCCCCGAACGGGGAGGTGACCACACCGTGTGGTGAGTCGGTGGGGATTCGGAGTCACCGCGCAGTTTTGGGCCTTGGGTCCTTCTCCGAGGATGTCTCGGGCGACTGGGGCCTCCCAAGGCCGTGCGGTGACGGACCGTGCGGTGGGGTCTCTTGGGGTTCCGAGGTCACCGCACGGTCTGTCACCACACGGCTTTGGGATCCCCACTCAGCCTGCTAACTCGGCTGCTTCTTTCACAACTCCTGCGGTCCGACGTTGCGAATCGATTGCAACACCGCGCGAAATTGCGACCGCAGCCTTACCCCATCTTGATGGTCCCGGGGCCCGGAGCCAGGCGAAAACGTTCGTCGAGAAGAATTTGCAACGCCCGGATCTCAGGGACACTCTCCGAATAGGCTCTACTCGTGTTTTTTTCAGGATCCACTCCTGGGGCTCTGTATCTATGACAAGTTCTGAGCACCTAATCCTGAGGATCTACTCCTGATAACCTACTCTCGACCTGCAGCGCTCGGACCTCAGGGACCCCAACCGAGTAGGCTCCGACCAGGACCTGCCGAGGATTTGCTCCAAGGTTCGGATCTACAAGCTCCGCAATTCTGGTTTTGGCCGAGGATTCCGCGCATGATGACCACCACCGCCTTCGTGGAGGGTCGCATCATCGACGGGATGCTTAATTAACCCAGAGTCCGGTTGTCTCCTGCAACTTCTCTCGGGAAGTGGGGCGACCCAGAGGTACCGATTCTGCTACTCCCCGGACCCCTCCTGGAGTGCGTTCCGACCAGGATTTCGAGGCGAATCCGGCGGTGGCGACGACGGAGGCCCTGGATGCCTCGAAAGGGGGAAACGAGGGGAGGGGAGCGGTATGGGTGGCGTATGCCGCCTCGCCTGATTTCAAGGTTTGCTCGCGTATGCTGGTCGGTGCCTGCCGTCGTGGGCTCGACGTCGTGCGCGAGAACTTCACGCTCAGAGAACTGGATCCTGTCTCTGGTCAGCTCTTTCTCGAGATTCTACTCCAGTGTTCGGGTGCTTCTTTCCCTGCATCTCTTCCGAGACAGGCTCCCCTGCGAGCACGTCTTCCACGCGGGCTGCCTGGACGCCTGGCTGGCCCGGAGCCCGCAGTGCCCCATGCGCTGCCACGCGGACCTGGCGCGGTGCCTGGCACGGGCACCGCGGCACGAGTCTCCCCTCGTCCTGCCCAGCGCCGCGCCCCCCGAGGAGCCCAGGCATCCGCCGGCACCTCTTCTGATGGGCCGATCTTCCACCACCGCTGCCACAGGCAGGACGGGGAGAAGGGAGGATGGGGATGTCCTCCTCCTCCTCCTTCTGCTCCTCCTCCTCCTCCCCCTCCTCCTCCTCCGCCTCCTCCTTCTCCTTGTTCGCTTAGGCCTAGGAGCGACTGAGCAGCACGCTAATCCAGAGCAGTCCATATCAGAAGCTGCCTACAGGACAGCATTGCCCTTCACTTCTACAACAAATCGCGTATCATTACGCACGCCGCGCCCAGCGCCGCGCTTCTCTCTTCCACAGGCAAAGAATGCCTGGCTACTGCAAGGCATGCGATGAGGCCATAGACCCTAAAGAACTGAAGAAAGGTACGGTCGCTCCTCCTCCTCCTCCTCCTCCTCCTCCTCCTGCTCCTCCCTGTCCTGCCTACGTATAGTAGCGGCGTTGGGGAATCGGCCGATCATTTTGCTTCACCCAGCGGCCCAGTCAGCGAGGACGGGACGTGAGAAGGAGAAGGCCTTCTCAGAAGGCGGCGCGCTTCCTCGGAAGCCTCCGCGCCTTCCCAGAAGTTTTTGCGAAGTCTTCGGGGAAGGACACCTCTCAGCAGGCCAGGGGACTTTCGAGCCTTCCGAGAAGGCCCGCCCCTTCTCACGTTCCCCCCCCGGCTCGCCGCCGATCCCGAGATCGGGGTGTCGCATTCTCGTTCGCACTCGTCGTTGTTGCCTTGCTCTGGTCCCCTGGGCCACCACTGATCGATCCGGCCCGAAGCGTGCAGCCAGAAAGTGGGGGCCTGTAGGTCTCTGGGCGTGGTTTCTTACGATTGCCGCCCTTTTTTCGTGGCGTCGGATCTCAGGACGGACCCGGGAGGATGGGATTTGGGAGAATCGATCAGATCATTTGCATTTCCGCGTATGTGGAAGGTACGTATTCGATTGGCCTGTGCACGGGCATTGGCCGTCGCATCGTCCAACCCGCCTTCAGCTTGAGTTGTCTGCCGATTGCACTGGTACTTCTGCTTGAACTTGGGTTGGTTCTTCGCTTTCATATCGCTGGAACGACGTTCCCACTCATCGCATTTACGCGTCTCTCCTTCACCACCAGCTGTTCCTCCTGAGGAACCCTGCTCAGCGCGTCACTGTCTGGGCCTCTATCGTTTGGAATTACCTCTGGGGTCCGATCGGCAGCGATGCTGCACCGCGGGTGCCAACGACTCGTGCAGAACTGAAGCGGACCAATGCAGCAGCGATTCCGCACTACGAACGGCACGCAATACGGAGCTCATTATCACCTCCGTATCAGGAACAGAACGCAACACGGAACCTGCTGCGGCCCCGCGCCCTCCCCAAATTCGTACAAGCACGAGGAGGATTAATGTGTGAATTCCGCATCAGCAACGGACCGCATTACAGAACCCGATGCGGAATTCATGATTCACTGGGCACTTGCCAGAAACCCCGGCATTGCTCATGCCCTTGGCCCACCTCCAGTGTTCGACGCGTGGCCTCAACACCTGAGATGGTCCAAGATGGCTCTGAGAGGGCCCAGGGCACACACAAGAAGGCTCTTGGACGGCCCCACCGAAGGCCTCGGCAGGGCTCCAAGATGGCCACGAGAGGGCCACGATGTAGGCTGCATGGTGCAACCTGCGTCTTGGGAAGTTCCCAGGGGCCCAAGATGGCCCCGAGAGGGCCACGAAGTAGGCTGCAGGTTGCGACCCGCTTCTTAGAAAGCTTTCGCGGTGTTGGATTGGCGGCCCATGCGTTGCGGTGACAACACGTTTCCCCTTCGCTAGGCGCAGGCGGCCGACGGTATCGTTCATTGCATCCGGAGGCTTTTGTTCATACCCTGCATCCTCCCAACCCCTCCCTCCCAACACGATAATTGTCTTTCTCGTTATTTTGATTATATATTCTGGCCAGTTTCTTTGCATGGCATTCCCCCCTCCCATTATACCCAGCCGTTTCAAACAGCGCCGGACCGAAGCGGGCTGCACGGGACTCGAAACACACTCGCGAGCATTCGTGGCACACTCACCTGTCATTGCCCCCCCTCCCCCAGATCCCGAAATCGAGGAACAATTCCTGGGCTGACAAAGTCGCACAGGACTCGAGACACTGTCGCGAACACTCATGGCATGTTCACCTGTCATTGCCCCACCCTCCGCCAGATGAACAAGGTCGGCGGTGGTTCTGATGAGTTGCGCTTCGATCGCAGCCTTCCACGCGCGTGCCAACTTTGAGCGGAGGAGGAGGAGGAGGAGGCGGAGGAGGAGGACGAGGAGGAGGACGAGGAGGAGGAAGAGGAGGAGGAGGAGGAGGAGGAGAAGGGGGATGCGGAGGGGGAGGAGGAGGACAAGGAGGACAAGGAGGAGGAGGAGGAGGAGGAGGAGGAGGAGGAGGAGGGAGGAGGAGGAGGAGGAGGGGGAGGAGGAGCAAAGGGGGGGGGGCGTGTTCATTAATCGTGTCCCTTCGCCGTGTGGGGAGCCCGAGGAGCCCGCCCAGGAGCTCGGGGAGGCGCCGGAGACTCCCCGCGCCGTGGAGCCTGCGCCTGCGCCGGCCGTGGCCGGCCTGTGGCAGGAGCCAAAGGGACCTGGACCCCTACCCAGACCTCCTCGCGTTGTGCAGGAATCATCGGGGGTGAACCCCCAACAGTGACACGTCGATCAGTGAATTGTCCGTCTTCGGTTCTCGAGAGGGCGCCGTGGCCGTTATTTTCCAGGCTTGCGCCCGCCAGGTTTGGGCCTCAGGTCGTTTTCGCTAAACCACGTCTTACTAAAGGGGGGTCTGTCCATCCCCGAAATCACGACGGGAAGTTTTTCGTTATTTTCGGCCCTCGGGGGCCCTTGCCGGCCTCGGGGCCGTCAGAAAACGATGCAGGATGAAAAACCGGTTTTGGGGAAGGGGTCGAGACCTCTGAGGGTCGACGTTGTGAATGAATCATGACGTGGGGGGTCTGGGGACCCAGACCTTTATGCCCCGCGGTCACGTTTAGGTGACCCTCGGGAGGGCGTTTTTCTTTTTGCATTCTGGCCAGTGCGCTTGTATGGAGGGGGTGGAGGGGGACGGGAGGCGTGGCGAGGCCCGAAAGGCATTCAGAAGTTCACGCAAGTCGGGACCCACTTGCACGCCATTTCGGCCCCGTGCTGTTTGAAATGGCGGCGGCATGGGGGGGAGGGAAATATACCATGCATGAGTAAACCTGCCAGAACCTGGGTCAAACCGTCCTCCAGCTAGGGTGCTGTCATGTCGTGCGTCGGGTGCCTTTGGTGGGGAAGAAGACGCAGGGGGCCCAGACCCCTCGCATCGTGGAGAGCTCGCGCCGTGAAAAAAAAACACGGGTGTTTTTTTTTCCTGGCTTCGGCCTCCCGGGGGCCCTCGCCAGGCCGTCCCAGAGCCGTCCAACAACAAATCATTACTAGCCTCGAACTCATCCCTATCCCTAAGATTGACACGCCAAAAGGCGATGACAATCTTAGGGATGCGCCCTCAAAAAATAAGGAATCCCAGAGATTGGCATCGTGCTGAGGCGATGCCCAGCTTAGGGATAGGGATATGTTCCAGGCTGGTAAAATCAGGGTGAAGAGCCGATCCCGGGGAATGCGTCCAGACCTCTGGGGGCTGCGCCATGCAAAAATCATGACGTCTGGGGTCGGAGGAATAGCTATGGCCCACGAACAGCCCTGCCCTGTTCGATCCTTTCCTTCGGTGCGTTTGCTACGGGCGTCGCTTGTCGGGGTGCTCACGTCATCGTTTCGCGCATTCCATTGGCCCTCCCTCTCCTCCCCCTCCTTCTCCTCCTCCTCCTCCTCCTCCTCCTCCTCCTCCTCCTCCTCCTCCTCCTCCCTCCTGGCTTCGTCCCGCTCGATCGAAGGAGGAGCCCAGCGTGCGCCGGGCCCCGCCGAGCGCGCTGGGCCTCGGCAGCGGGCCCGGCGGGGCGGGGCGCGCGGCGGAGGGCCCGCGCGGAGGCGGCCCCGCCGCGGGGCGCGGCCCGCGCGGGGCGCTGGAGGCCAGCGCGGTCTTGCAGGCCTGGTGGGAGTGGGGCGGGTGGTGTCGAGGCCGCCCAGATCCTCCTTCTCCTCCTCCTCCACCTTCTCCTCCGCCTCCTCCGCCTCCTCCTTCTCCTCCTCCTCCTCCGCCTCCTCCTCCTCTTCGTCCTCCTCCTCCTCCCCCTCCTCCTCCTCCTCCTCCTCCTCCTCCTCCTCCTCCTCCTGCTGCTCCTCCTCTTCCTCGGGATGTCCGAGCAGGTGGGGTCGGGGGATCGCGCCGCATCGCCGATGCGTCGGCGATGCATCAGGGATGCGGCTCGACGTGGGGCCCGATTTTCTCCACGCCGACGTCGCCGATGCATCGCCGACGTCGCCAGTGCATGCCCGATGCATTGGCGATGTATAGCCGATGTATCGGCGATCCTCCGATCCATCTACTCCGACCCCATCTAGGAGGCTACTAGTGGGGGGGTGGGCCACATGGGGGCCCAGGCTGCCTCGCCTCGCGAAAGAGTCACGACGGGAGGTTTTTAGGTAGTCTCGGCCTCCATATGGTGGCCCTTGCTGGGCCTCGGGGCCGTCAACAGAATGACTCGGGATGAGAACCGGTCCCGGGGAAAGGGTGGAGAGCTCTGGGGGTCGACGTTGCGACACAACTCATGTCGTCGTGGGTCTGGGGGTGGGGGTGAACCAACTGGGAGGTGACGGGAACGGCCTCAAAGGGACCCTTTCGTCAGGGCCCGTTCTGGGCACCAACTGGCTCCCAAAGGGGCCCTAACGGGCCCGTTTAGGGCCCTTCTCTTCACCCCAAAATCTGCGTCACCCCCCCAGCACCACCCGCCCGAGGGAGGGATCGGCCCAGACGTGCTCGCGTCGTGGAAGCCCAGAGATCGAGCGTATTGACAAAAGTCAAGACAGAGGTTTTTCGCTGTGGTCGGCGTCTGGAGGCCCTCGCCAGGCCCCGGGATGTTGCCCTGGGGTCTGGGTCAGGACTTCCGTGAACCCC